CACCTCCTGGGTTCAAGCGATTCTCCTGCCTCAGCGTCCTGAGTAGCTGGGATTACAGGTATACCACCACACCCGGCTAATTTATTTATTTGTTTTATTTTATTTTATTTTTTTTGTTTGTTTGAGATGGAGTCTCGCTCTGTTGCCTAGGCTGGAGTGCAGTGGCACGATCTTGGCTCAAAGCAAACTCCACCTCCGAGATTCAAGTGATTCTCCTGCCTCAGCCTCTTGAGTAGCTGGGACTATAGGCACGCACCACCACACCCGGCTGATTTTTATGTTCTTAGTAGAGACAGACAGAGTTTCACCATGTTAGCCAGGCTGGTCTCCATCTCCTGACCTCAGGTAATCTGCCCACCTCAGCCTCCCAAATTGCTGGGGTTACAGGCATGACCCACTGCCCGGCCAGAAACGTCCTATTTTGTTTTCTCCTCTTCCTGCATTTGCTCTGTTTTCTTGCTTCAGTCTCTGTTTGGTGATTCTTCATCATCAGTTCATATTTAAGAGGAGGTCTGAACATATACCCCCCCAAATGTGGATGTCTGTGGTCTTTCCTCCTGGCCCGGCCAGTTTCCGCAGTAGAAACTCTTCTGACCCTGTCCAGGGAGGAGGGGGGGGCAAGAGGGCTGGGAGCTCACTCTGCTGTATGGACCCTCCTTGGAACTACTTCCTTGGAACTGGTTTTAGTTCCACAGCATCCAGCCAAAGCCTAGCAGGGACGGCTGTAATCCGCATTGATGAAGGGAGTCCTGCTCTGGGGGAGCCTGGGGCCTCTCAGCGAGAGGGTGGTGGAAGGGCCTCAGAGGACTTAGGCTTGCCTTAGGGGATCTGGGGGAGTGCCCAGGGAAGTGGGGCTGGGCCTTGGACGGGATGCTGTCTGGAAGCAGGGGTAACTGTATGACTGGATGTCTTGATGAATCATATGTAGAAGGAGACAGGGATGCCAGGCTGGAGGGATGATTCTGTGGCTTGGAAGAAATTCTTGATTTTGTCCTCACTCAGACATGATCGCTGGGTGGTCTTGTTTCTGTCTTTGCCCATCGTGGTCACACACTGGCCTTGCCTGATGTTGACGCTCTGGGACATTTCCAGGCTGATAGGACCAGGCCAGCTCCCGATGTCAGGGCTGCTGTACTCATCTTTTTCAGCTGGGACCAGTGTCCCTGACTCCAAATCCCTGCTATATCCTTTCCAGACAGCACATCTTTAGTTTTCTGCTGATCCCGTGAGTTTAAGGGAGGGATCAAATTTCAGTGTTCCCTAGGGTATACATAGACTTATTTTTTCTCTAGAGAGAGGATCTGGCTCTGTTGCCAGGCTGGAGTGCAGTGGTGTGGTCACAGCTCATTGCAGCCTCCAACTCCTGGGCTCAAGTCATCATCCTGCCTGAGCCTCCCGAGTAGCTGGGACTATAGGTGCATGCCACCCACCATGCCTGGCTAAGATTTGTACTTAAAAATAATTATTTTATTTTTAAATTGTAATTAACTATTAAATTAATTTTGAGACCAGGTTATGAGACTGGCTCATTTTTGTATTTTTGGTAGAGAAGGGGTTTTACCATATTGCCAAGGCTGGTCTCGAACTCCTGGGCTCAAGCGAGCCACCCACCTCAGCCTCCCAAAGTGCTGGGATTGCAGGTGTGAGCCACCGTGCCCACTCTAGATGGACTTTTAAAAAAATGTGTGGCAAAATACACATCTCGTAAAACACGCCACGCTCACCATGTTTAAGTGTGCGTCCCGGGCATAAGCATGCTCCGGTGCTGTGCAGCCATCTCCGCCATCCAGCCGCAGAACCTGTTCATCTTCCCCAGCTGAAGCTCTGGCCCCGTTCAGCCCAACTCCCCACCCCTCAGCCCCGGCACCCGCCCTTCTACTGCCCGTCCCCCAGGAGTTCACGGCTCTCCTGTGAGGCCCCTCGCAGGAGTGGAATCCTACAGTGCCGGCCTCTCTGTGACTGGCTCCTTTCACTGAGTCCCATGTCCTCGAGGATCAGCCGTGTGGGAGCCCGTCTCAGAATGGCCTTCCTTTCTTCTCTGTGACTTGTGCCTTCGTGCAGTCCTGTATGACAGGGCTTGGTGAGGATGGAGAGCAGGGCAAGTGTTTAGCCCCAGATGAGTCCTCAGTCTCACTTTTAACTGTAATGGCAGCTTTCTGGATGTTTGCTTGCTTAAAAGAGTAATTCTTTCCTTCCTAAAGTGTTGGCCCCCACTCTGCCCAGGAGGCAAGATGCTCTCGTCTTGCCACAGGGAATTATGTCTGTCCAGTTAGAGTGAGCAGTTTTTCTGTCCACTCCTTTCCCTATAGAAGAGGTGGGGCTGGGCCCTCCCTGCTGTGTCTCGGACCCCAGTCTTCCTTACCATTCTGATTGATTGATTGACTGAGATGCAGTTTCACTCTTGTTGCCTGGGCTGGAGTGCAGTGGCGCCGTCTCGACTCACCACAACCTCTGCCTCTCGGGTTCAAGCAATTCTCCTGCCTCAGCCTCCTGAGCAGCTGGGATTACAGGCATGTGCCACCAGGCCCAGCTAATTTTGTATTTTTAGTACAGACGGGGTTTCTCCATGTTGGTCATGCTGGTCTTGAACTCCCGACCTCAGGTGATCCACCCGCCTCGGCTTCCCAAAATGCTGGGATTACAAGCGTGAGCCACCACGCCCGGCCATTCTGTTTCTTTTTTGAGATGGAGTCATCTAGGCTGGAGTGTAGTGGCATGATCTTGGCTCACTGCAATGTGTGCCTCCTGGGTTCAAGCAATTCCCCTGCCTCAGCCTCCCAAGTACCTGGGACTATAGGCACGCACTACCACGCCCAGCTAATTTTTTGTATTTTTAGTGGAGACTGGGTTTCACCATGTTAGCCAGGCTGGTCTCAAACTCCTGACCTCAGGTTATCTGCCCGCCTCAGCCTCCTGAAGTGCTGGGATTATAGGCATGAGCCACCACGTCGGGCCACCATTCTGTTTTAAATAGTTTTATTTATTTATTTATTTAGAGATGGAGTCTTGCTCTGTCGCCAGGCTGGAGTGCTGTGACATGATCTCGGCTCACTGCAATCTCCGACTCCCTGGTTCAAGTGATTCTCTTGTCTCAGCCTTCCGAGTAGCCAGGATTACAGGCATGCACCACCATGGCCGACTACTTTTTGTATTTTTAGTAGATACAGGGTTTCACCCCGTTGGCCAGGATGGTCTCGAGCTGCTGACCTCGTGATCCGCCTGCCAGCCTCCCAAAGTGCTGGGATTACAGGCATGAACCACCATACTGGCCAAATAAATAGTACAATTCAGTGGTTTTTTTGTATATTCAGAGTTGTGCAGCCATCGCCATCTAATTCCAGAGCATTTTCTTCACCCCCTAAAGGAGACTTGTACCCATTAGCCACTACTCCCCACTCCCCTCTCCAGCCCCTGGCACCCACTCCTCTGCTTCCTGTCTCTAAATTTACCTGGCTGGACACTTTACATAAATGGATTCATTCCTTCTTGTGACCGAATCCTCTTTTGGATAGACCATGCTGAGTTTAGTCATCCATCAGTTGGTGGACACTCCAGCTGCGCCTGCCTTTGGGCTCGGATGAGTGGTGCCGCCATGAAGCTCTGCGTACGCGTCTTGGTTTGGACGCAAGTGTTCACTTCTGCCATTCTTCAGCTGAGTGTCTGGGCTGGTGGTCCTGTGCCCGGCCACCAGGCCACAAAAGGGTGCTTGCATCTCTCATGCCCTGGGGATCTTGGCACCTGCTGTCCAAGCCTAGCCCTCAGCCCCCTGACCGCTGCCCTCTGCAGGTGGCTGAGCTCTGCATTGACATGGAACTGCGGGATGAGATTCTGCCCAGAGCCCAGAACATCCAGAGCCGCTTGGACCGACAGACCATTGAGACAGAGGAGGTCTGGGCGACCTACCTGGGGTTGGGGGGAAGATGGGGACCTGGAGCCTGTACAGCCTGCTGTTGGAAGTGGCCACCCTGCCTGCCCCTCCCTTTGGCCCCTTCCTTCTGACTTGGACTTCCTGTCTCCCTCCTTGCCCCTAACCCCTAACCAACCTTGTGCGGTCTCCTGCGCAGGTGAACAAGACGCTGAAGGCGACGCTGCAGGCCCTGCTAGAGGTGGTGGCCTTGGACGACGGGGATGTGCTCGACTCCTTCCAGACCAACCCCTCCACCGAGTCCCTCAAGTCCACCAGCTCAGACTCAGGCAGCCGGCAGGCAGGCCGGAGGCGTGGCCAGCAGCAGGAGACTGAGACCTTCTATATCACGGTGGGGAGGGCTGGGTTGGTGGGCGGGACCCACGGGGGCGTGGCTGGGGCAGAGGGAGGGGCTTAAGCCAGAGGTAAACTTTGGGTTCTTCTTGGGACTGCGCAGAAACTCCAGGAGTATCTGAGTGGACGCAGCATACTTGCCAAGCTGCAGGCCAAGCACGAGAAGCTGCAGGAGGCCCTTCAGCGAGGTGGGCCCAGCGCTGCCCCCTTCCCTGCCTCTCCCCTGCCCAGGACCCTATCTGGCCCGAGGTCCTCCCTGCCTGCCTGTCCCTGGCCCTTTTCCATGCCTTTTTTTCTGGAATGCATTGAAGACCCCTGGCCTGAGAGGCAGACCAGTGTTCTTCCACCCAACAGGTGACAAGGAGGAGCGGGAAATGTCTTGGTGAGTCCTTCATGAGGGCCTGGCACGTTCTGAGGAGCTGGGTCACTGCAGTGGTCCCCCATCTCTTCTCTCCCTGGGGCCCAACTCAGCTGCCCAGTCCCCTGGGCCTCAATTTCCCAGTCTTCCCACTGGATTGTGGAATCACTTCAGAGGGTTAGAAGCCTGCTTGGCTGGGCGGGGGGTGGGGCATCCCATTCTCCACACCCGGCCCCCTCAGAGCCAGCTCCCATTCACCACAGGACCCAGTACACGCAGAGAAAATTCCAGAAGAGCCACCACCCTCGCCCCAGCTCCCAGTATAACCAGAGACTCTTTGGGGGAGACATGGAGAAGTTTATCCAGGTACTTGCTCTGCCCCACACGCTAGCCCACCTGTATGTGCTGGTCTTTCTCCAGCCCTGGGTCACCTCTGTGGCCGGAGCAGCTGCCTGATCCCAGGGTCTCAGTCACCAACTGTACCTTCCTGGATGGGCCTCTTCCAGGCCTCTGTTGGGCTCCCCGTGGCCTTCGCTGATCGAAGGGAGCATACTTAACTAGTAAGGGGAACGTACAGAAAACTTGGGGCAGCACCATTTTTAGGGGCAAGATATTGAAAGCTTTTCCCCTGCAACTTCTGGCCAGCGTGGTACTGGGGGGCCTTGACAGTGAAATGAGGGGAAGCAGGAAAGATCAGAAAACTAATACTGATATCAGAAAGCATCAGAGAGGGCCAAGCATGGTGGCTCACACCTGTAATCTCAGCACTTTGGGTGGCTGAGGTAGGCAGATCACTTCAGCCCAAGTGTTCGAGACCAGCCTGGGCAACATAGTGAAACTGTCTCTACTACAAATACAAAAAATGAGCTGGGCATGGTGGCGCGTGCCTGTAATCCCAGCTGCTCAGGAGGCTGAGGCAGGAGAATCACTTGAACCTGGGAGGCAGAGGCTGTGGTGAACCAAAATTGCAAGACTGCACTCCAGCCTGGGTGACAGAGCGAGACTTGGTCTCAAAAAAAAAAAAAAAAGAAAAATAAAACCAAGAAGGAGGGAGGGATAGAGGGAGGAAGGAAGGAAGGACCAGGCATGGAGAGTACCAGAAAGATCAGAACTGATGCCATCATTGTCAGTGATATGATTATGTGTGTAGACCATTCAAAAGAATCAACAAATCTTTAAATGAACACTTTTTTTCTTTTTTTGAGAGAGAGGCGGTCTTGTGCTGTTGACCAGGCTGCATTGCAGTGATGCGATCTTGGCTCACTGCAATGTTTGCCTCCCAGGTTCAAGTGATTCTCCTGCCTCAGCCTTCCAAGTAGCTGGGACTACAGGTGTGCACCACCTGGCTAATTTTTATATTTTCAGTAGAGACATGGTTTCGCCATGTTGGTCAGGCTGGTTTGGAACTCCCAGCCTCAGGTGATCTGCCCGCCTCAGCCTCACAAAGTGCTGGGATTACAGGTGGGAGCCACCACCCCTAGCTTGAGTTTCAAAATGTTACTTGATTCAAGGTCAGTGTACAGAATTGAACTGCATTTTTATATTCCAGCAACAATTTGCAAATAAAATGTAAGTCAGTGCTTAAAACCTCATGAAAAATATCAGACATCTAGGAGCGAGTATAAGAAACTGCGTGCTAGGCCTCTATGCCAACAACAATGATGTGTTCTTGAGAGAAAATAAAAGCAACCTGGCGCATGGTGCACGCCTGTAATCCCAGCGCTTTGGGAGATTGAGGCCGGAGTATCGCTTGAGCCCAGGAAGTCGAGACTGCAGTGAGCCGAGATCGTGCCACTGCACTACAGCCTGGGCGACAGACTGAGAACCTTGTCTCAAAAAAAGGAAAAAAAAGCAATTGAATGACAACACAGGACATGCGGTGTCCATGGTGAAGTAAACACCTTCTGTCCCCAGAGCTCAGGCCAGTCTGTGCCCCTGGTGGTGGAGAGCTGCATTCGCTTCATTAACCTCAATGGTGAGCAGGACCCAGCCCCTCCCAGGATCTTGGCACCCAGAACCCAGTTCCCGGCACCTGGCCTGGGAGGCCATCCCGGCAGGGCTGGGGAAGATGCTCAGTGCCCACCAGCTCCTTGTCCTCCTGCAGGCCTGCAGCACGAAGGCATCTTCCGGGTGTCCGGTCCCCAGCTCCGGGTCTCAGAGATCCGTGATGCCTTCGAGAGAGGTGGGGATGGGCAGGGGGAGCGGGGTTGGGGGCTCTCGGGCAGGCAACATCAGCATCCTCCCCCACCACATCACTCGCCCATCTGCAGGGGAGGACCCGCTGGTGGAAGGCTGCAGTGCCCACGACCTGGACTTGGTGGCTGGGGTGCTGAAGCTCTACTTCCGGAGCCTGGAGCCCCCACTCTTCCCCCCGGACCTGTTCAGCGAGTTGCTGGCTTCTTCGGGTGAGGCCAGGGCCTGAGGCCGTTGTGGGGAGGGCACTTGCTAGGGTGGCTGCACTCACACGGCTCTCTCCGGGTGGCCTTGGCCACAGAGCTGGAGGCCACATCAGCACGGGTGGAGCAAGTGAGCCGCCTGCTGGGGCGGCTGCCGGCGCCAGTCCTGGTGGTTCTGCGCTACCTCTTCACCTTCCTCAACCAGTGAGTGCTTCGGGGCGAGCACTGGGGTGGGGGCTGGAGCCGAGGGGGCGAGGGGACTTGGGGTGTGGGCTCTCTGCTTGTGACGTGAGTATCCCCTCAGCCTGGCCCAGTACAGCGATGAGAACATGATGGACCCCTACAACCTGGCCGTGTGCTTTGGGCCCACGCTGCTGCCCGTGCCCGCTGGACAGGACCCGGTGACGCTGCAGGGCCGGGTGAACCAGCTGGTGCAGACGCTCATAACGCAGCCCGATCGGGTCTTCCCACCCCTAACTGAGCTGCCTGGCCCCGTCTACGAGAAGTGCATGGCACCACCTTCCACCCGCTGCCTGGGGTACACCATTGGTGCTGCCGAGGGGACTGGGGGGTCCATTGGAGAGGAGCCCCCCTCATCCACCTCGCTCTACCCTGAACCTCAGGGACGCCCCGCTGGAGAGCCTGGGGGCAGACAATGAGCCGGACCTGGAAGCGGAGACACTGGCCCAGGAGGATGGTGAGGGCAATGGGCAGAGAGCCCCATCCTGTCCCCGCCCTTGTGTCCACACCCCCCACAGCTTGGACCTCCTCTCCTCACCAGACCTGGACGGGGTCGTGGAGGCTGTGGCCTGCTTTGCCTACACGGGCCGCACGGCCCAGGAGCTGAGCTTCCGGCGTGGGGACGTGCTGCGGCTGCACGAGAGGGCATCCAGCGACTGGTGGTGGGGAGAGCACGAGGGCGCACGGGGCCTCATTCCCCACAAGTACATCACGCTGCCTGCGGGGTGAGTGAGCCTTGCCCTTGGGGCTCTCGGGGTCTCCACACCTCCCCTTCATCCAGCCTGCCCTCGACCCCAGGTCAGATTCGGAAGGTGTGGGCTGGCTTGGAGAATGAGCATTTCTGACCACTTCTGGCTGGCATGGAGGCTACTGGCCTGGACCTGAGGGAAAAGAGCCCTCAAAACAGGCCGGTCCTTTCCACTGCAGGGCAGAGAAGCAGGAGGTGGGCGCAGGCGTGCAGACTGCAGGTGACTCGGAGAGCAGCCCCGAGGGCCTCCTGGCATCAGAGCTGGTCCACCGGTGAGCAAGAAGATGGGACTGGAGAACCCACGCCGGGGAGACTGGGGTCAGGCTTTGGCCATGTGGGAGCGGGAGGGGTTGTGAGATGAGGATGTGATAGAGTGACCCAGCCTGTGACAGGGAGAGGCTCTAGAGGAGCTTGGGGACCAGTGGGCCAGCCTCTTTTCCTTGGCCACACCCCAGGATGGGAGGAGCCACTGCCCTGTTAGCTCAGGGACTTCCCAGGGCCCCCACCAGGCTCCCCGTCTGTCCTGCAGGCCAGAGCCATGCACCTCACCCGAGGCTGTGGGACCCCCTGGACACAGGCGACACTGCTTGGTCCCAGCCTGTCTGGAGCAACATGTGGAGGTTGATAAGGTGAGAGCCAGGACTGGCTATGTGGCAAGTGAGGACACCTGTCCTGGGGGATCTCTGCTTCCCCTTGGGAGCCAAACTGCGCTCCCTGGCCTCAGCTGAGGGGAACCTGCCACCAGACACACAGGAAGGCAAAGATGTGAGGGCAGGTGGGGATGGCAAGGTACGGCCACAGAGGCAGGGATGAGAGGGCCAGAGGCCACGTGGTCTGGTTGGAGCCCAGGGCTTGCATGTTGGGATTTACATTTGGCTTCTGAGCAGGCAAGTATCAGGGCTGAGTAGAGACTGTTTACCTGGTAGGGGCAGGGGATTCCAGGGCAGATTGCAAGGCTGGTATCTATAGCTGGGCTAGGTAACAGGCGGTACCATGGCAGGCACTTGACATGCCAGGGAGGATGAAAGGGACAGATGGCAGGGAGGCAGGAGGGGGTGGCTGGTTGGGGATCGGGGTGGGGCAGCAGTGGCTCTTGCAGGAGCAGAGCTCAGGCTTAAGACGTGGTCCTGGCACGGGCCCTGCTACGTGCTCTGTACCATGGGCCCTGTGAGCACCATCGGCTGAGAAGCCCGGGAGACAGTGGCTAAGCCCGAGGAGGAGAGAGCCCAAGAGTCCCCAGGCCTAGGGAGCCTGGGGAGAGTGTGGTAGACATGCAGGAGCAGGAGCCGGGACCAGGGACAGGGCAGCCGGGAGATGCCACGGGAGGACATTGACCTGGGAGTCCCCTCATGCTGCTGGTGGCTCCTGAGGCCGTGGGCAGACGGACTATGATCTCTGCCAGGGAAAGGATGAAGGCAAGAAGAGAGGGGTCCCCACTTCCGGGCTAAGCCAAGGAATTGCTGTCCTCAGAGGAGACTGTGACAGAGACACCAAAGGGGGCAGGAGGGAAGCCAGGTGCACACTGGGGAAGAGTGACCTTGAGGCTGAGGGACTTGCTTTGGGAGTGGGCGGAGCTCTGGGTCTTTTTTTTTTTGAGACGGAGTTTCACTCATGTTACCCAGGCTGGAGTGCAATGGCGCGATCTCGGCTCACCGCAACCTCCGCCTCCTGGGTTCAGGCAATTCTCCTGCCTCAGCCTCCTGAGTAGCTGGGATTACAGGCATGCACCACCATGCCCAGCTAATTTTTTTTTTGTATTTTCAGTAGAGACGGGGTTTCACCATGTTGACCAGGATGGTCTCGATCTCTTGACCTCGTGATCCACCCGCCTCGGCCTCCCAAAGTGCTGGGATTACAGGCTTGAGCCACCGCGCCCGGCGCTCTGGGTCTTGATGATCACCCTCCCTTTGTTTCCCCTGCACTAGGCTGTGGCGCAGAACATGGACTCTGTGTTTAAGGAGCTCATGGGAAAGGCCTCTGCCCGCCAGGGCCTCGGACCAGCACCTGCCACCTCTCCCAGCCCTGGGCCCCGAAGCCCAAAGGCCCCGGTCAGCAGCCGCCTGGGCAGGAACAAAGGCTTCTCCCGGGGCCCTGGGGCCCCAGCCTCACCCTCAGTGTCCCAGCCCCAGGGCCTGGACTCCACCCCCAAGCCACACTGAGGTGCTGGGCCGGCCACTCTCCCCAGCCCCCTTGCTTCACTCCAGCCCTTTCCAGCAAGTGCAGGGTTCCTGCACTTCACCCTGTGCAGAGAGGTGGGATGAGGCCACTGTATAGGGATGCCCGCCCCATACCCTGCCTGCCCCTCAGCCCTGGCCCAGGCCTCTTTGGGAGGCAGCTGAGGAAGGAGGCTGGGGAAACCCTCTTCTGCGGCCTTGAGGAGGGCTGGTCAGTGGCTGCTGGGTGGCGGGCGCCCTTGCTCAGATGCCTGGCAGCACTGCGTTGTGATTCATAAAGACCTATGTGTTGACTCCCTGATGGGAGCCAGCTCTCTGTCTCAGGGGTAGACAGGTGGGTGCTGGAGGCTGGAGAAGTTTCCCCTGCAGGTCCTGCAGCTTTGAAGGCTTGGCCGCTTGCACCATGGGTTCCGGAGCTGTGCACGTGACTGTGGGTGTGGGGGGGCAGGTCTGTGTACGTCTCTGTGCTGCCTCCACAACCACTGTTACCCTGATCCAAGGAGACCCCTCGCCATGTGGAGGATGAGCTGCAACTTTTATTAGGGAGAGAATGAGAACAGAGGGAGGAAGGGAGGGATTAGAGAGGCAGAGACTAGAAGACCCCCGGGACCACTCGCTCACCTGGGGGCAGCTGCTCTCTCCTTCCTGCCCCTCAGCCTTCCGCTGCAGCCCTCCCACACCCAGCACAGTGAGCTGACCTGAGGCATCCTCATGCAGCTAAGGATGTGGAGACCCAGGCAGGGGCTGTGGCTTGTCCAGGGCCATACAATGTACCAGCTCAGGGCCACAGGCTCTGGCCGGTTCTCTGTGGGTCCCCCTCCCAGTGGACTCCAGGAAGGCAGCTGAGCTTCTCAAAGCTTCTGGAGGCAAGACACACAACAGCTCTTCAGGATGAAGTGTCCTTGGCCAGGGAGGAGCTGGCGGTGTTGCAGGACTCATCCTGGGGACCCAGGCTGGGTGGGGTGCGCCTCTGGGCACAGCAGAGCAAGCTGCGCAGCTCCGAGGAGATGCTGCTGCTGAAGGACGCGTAGATCCAGGGGTTGGTGCAGCTGTTGAGGCTGGCCAGCAACATGAGCAGCACGAAGGGTGGCCCTGTGGAGGTAGGGGGATGCAGGCTGGGCTCAGGACAGCTGGCAGTGCATGGAAGCATGCGGCCAAGACCGAGTGACCCCCCACAGCCCTAGCCATGGCTACACCCACTTTCTCGAGGCGCCTCCGGGTCCCACGCGGCCCACAGTTGCACCAGGAAGAAGGGCGCCCAGCATAGCACATAGACGACCACAATCACTAACGTCATCCTCACGGTCTTGGCCACAGCTGCCGACACGCGGGCTCCCTCGCTGGGGCTGCCTGTGTGGCAGCCCGGGCGGCGCCCCCCAGTCCTCTCTGATGGTCCTGGCACCAGACTGGCGTGAATCTCCCGGAAGATGAGGACCTGGCAGGCGGCGATAGCCAGGGTAGGCGCCACGAACACCATCAGGGCGATCCAAGTGACGTACGCGCGGAGGCCCCAGGGCTCCACAAAGCTGGCCCAGCAGTCAACGACCCCGCTGCCATTCCCCACGTCACGCTGGGCGAAGATGAAGAGCTGGGGCAGGCTGAGAAGGAGCGAGAAGGCCCAAGCCACCAGCACCGGCCGGTTGCAGTGAGCCCCACCTCCATGGCGGTAAGCTAGCATGGGACGGCAGATGGCGCGGTGGCGGTCCAGTGTCATGGCCAGGATCATGTAGGAGGAGGCGTACATGCCCACCATTTGCAGATACTTCACTGCCCGACACAGGGCATCCGGCCCATGGAAGCGGTCGGTGGCATCCCAGGCCAGCTGGGGCAGCACTTGGAACAGAGCCACAGCCAGGTCGGCCAGGCACAAGTGGCCAATGAAGATGTGCATGGGTGCCCAGTGGCCCCGCTGGCCCCGCCGTGCTAGGGCTGCCAGCACAAGGCCGTTGCTCAGGGCCACGGCCACAAAGACTATAGAGAGCAGCGCCAGCTCCGCCCGGGCCAGGAGCAGGTCCCTGGTGTCCAGCGGCCTCTCCTGGCTGCTGTTGCTGGGCAGGCTGGGTGGAGAGGGGTGCCCAGGCACAGCTGGGCAGGGGTCAGGGAGAGGGCCTGGTTAGAGAGGGTGCTGTGCAGGGGAACACAGGTTCAAGGAGGCTCCCACCTGGCTGCCGTTAATCTGGGCCTCCTGCCTCCCTTACCACCATCCAGAGACCCACTTCCTGGCCTCTAGCAGAGGAGACTCCGGGAAAGCCATGTTATGGGGGACACATACCCCAGGCTCATGTGGTCCAGGAAGAAGGGCAGCCCCAGCCCCAGCCCTGGCAGGGAGGTGGGGCAGTACCCTCCCCGCCGATCGTTGGCAGCCTGGAGGAGGCGCATACCAGAGGCGAGGGTGAAGAAGGCCTTTAGAAAGAGGGGCTTCCCTGCGTCGTCAAACCCACTGTGCCCACCTGGCTCATGGGGGACAAGCCTTACCGGAGGTGGTGGATGCCATGAGCATGGTGGGGCTGTGCCGTGTGTTCTGAGGGCCTGGAGGAGATGGGCAGACTCAGCCTCTGCCCAAGTGGCTAGCCCCACGACCCAGGGTCTGTGGACCAGAGCCCTTACAGAGGTGCCGGCGTGGCTGGTACCTGTTGGTGTGTGTGCATGTGTGAGGTGGGAGTGTGGCTAGTCCTGGGCAGGGAAGATAGAGAGGGATGGTCAGACAGACGGACACACAGTGCCCAGGACCCCAAGGCAGCCCACAAGCCCCGAGTTTGGGAGTGGGCACCCAGGCAGACACGCAGAACTCCCCTGCCCTGACAGAGGCCAAGAGAGGCCACCATCAGAGGGCTGGGGGCTGGGCAGGGAGGGGGACAGGCCTGTGCAGCCCCTTACCTGGCTGGGCTCCTGGGCTTCTGGGCAGCTGGGCAGTGGTGTGAAGGCTGGGTGCTCAGATCTGCTCTCCATCGGCTGCCCCGCCCTGGCCCAGCCCAGCCTCTGGGAGTGACCTGGCCAGGAGGGGACTTCCTCCCCCTCCCCCTTTCCCCCTGGCCTCTCGTTTCCCTTCCTTTCCCCAGGGCCTCCCTGGTCCAGGTCCAGGACTCCCTCCTCCCACTGCCATAGCCTCCACGCCCACCCTCACCCTACCACACACCCCGGCTGGATTGTCTGAGCTGGCAGTGCTCTGGGAGGTCTCTTAGTTCAGCATTGCCATTTTATAAGTGGGGAAACTGAGACCAGAGAGCATGGGTCTGGCCCAGGACTGCGATGCTTTTTCATGGGAGCTTCATGCCAACTTCCCAAGTTGGGGTCCTCCTGCTTCTGGCTGGGCCCAGGCGAGGAGGGGTTGAAAGCACCCTCACTGGGCCCCTCCCAGACCCATGCAGGCCCCTCCTCCTCCGCAATTAGGGCCAGTTTGGCTGGAGATGAGGAACAGGAAAGGGAGGGGTGGGGTGGTGGCCAAGTCAGGCTGCATGAACCCCTGTGAGATCCAGGGAGACCCCCCACCCTCCTCCTCCTGCCCCACCTGCAACTACCTGTCCTTGGAAGAGGGGCTGGGGACCTCCGTGTGCTCAGGGGCCCCCTCCTGCTACACATGCCCTCACACGCACGACACAGCCACAAACACACACATGACGTGGAGTCGCTTGCTCATGTCTTGAACACGCCGTGAGTGTGGGCGCACCTTCCCTGTACCTGTTTCAGGTGCGGGGACCTGAGAGGGGAGCCGCCAGGGCTTCAGGGCTGGGCCCTCCTCCTCCCTCCCCCAACACCTCTCTCTCCTTCCCCGGCCCCACACCCCCCAGCCCCCATCCAAGTGGTTCTCTTTCCACTCCGCCCCACCCTGCACCCAGGCCTGGCTCAGCCCAGCCCAGCCCAGCCCAAGCAGCCGCGTTCTTCCTGTTTGTCTGTCTTCTCTGTTGGCCTGTGAGGCCAGAGACCAAAACAGCCTCACAGACCAGGCTCAAGTCTGGCCCGTGGCCAGGGCCTCCCCTTCCTGCCCCTCCTGGCTCTGTCAGGGTGGTGGGAACACAGGGTGGCCATTTTCTAGTGACAGTGCTAGGCACTCACCACCCCCTGCCACTACGACACCACACGCGCATACAACACACCATCATACACCACACCACAGCCACACATCACAGACACATGTGCACCCACCATACACCCATACGCCATGCTGCGCACACACACCACACCACACAGCTACACATCACACACGCACGCATAACGCCACACACACACCACGCACCCCGTATAGCACACACCACACAGCCATATACCACCCCACACACATGCACACACCTGCAGGCCATTCCACATACTTGTGCTGTCCCCAATAACCACATGCTGTCACTAGCCTAGAAGTGCAGAAATGGCCTTCCTAATGGCACCCAGATCAATGGAATGGGACATGGCCTCCCTCAGTTGGCAGAGAATTTGGGGACCCTGGCTTGGGAAGCAAGCCAGGCTCCAGCCCCTGCTTGGTTCCTGCCCAGCAGTGTGGCCCTGAACAGGCCATGCCAGCTCTTGACACGTGCTTCCCCTTCTGTGCAATGGGACTTGGTGATTGAGGGTGAACTATGGCGATAAGATGGGCAGGGCTGGGGACTGGCAGGGCCGTGGGAGAGCCTTTGTTCTCTCTGTCTAAAGCTGGCTGGGCAGAGGAATCCATGCCAGCCTTTTGGGGTGAGCAGGCAACCATCTCCTTATCAGTTTCTCTGCCTGAATGAGGCTGTACACGACTGGATCTCAGCAGTGGGCTGGGGCCTCCCCTAGCAATGTGGCCAGGCCTGTGGTAATCTCTGCCCCCTGGACTCCTCACTTCCTGTTGTTAAATTGGGGAAGAGTCTGGAGGAAGGGCCCCCATGGCAGTCTCCTCTGGGATGCAAGAAGCCAGACCAGGACCAAGCACTACTCTGCCAGGATTCCCAGGAGGAACCGAGAGCCACCATGGCAAGGGCTTGGAGGCTGCAGGTGCACACAGGCGGGCGCTTCATGAAGCTGTGCCAGGAGAGAGGCCCTGGGCAGCCACCCCTTGGGTGCTGAAAAAGAAGGGCAGACTGTGCTGATTCATGCCAGGTCCACATGAGTCAGCAGGGATGGCACCAGGCTGCCCCAAGCCCTTTCCCTCCGACGTTAACAGGGGCAGAGTGGGGCCAGGCGTGGTGGCTCATGCCTGTAATCCTAGCACTTTGGGAGGCTGAGGCAGGCAGATCACTTGAGGTCAGGAGTTCGAGACCAGCCTGGCCAATATGATGAAACCCCATCTGTATTAAAAATACAAAAAAAATTAGCTGGGCATGGTGGTGCCCGCAT